ATATTTCAAATATCCTCTTATATAATAGGATGTGCATCTTCTGGATTGCACCTTCATTTTCTACCCCTAACAGCATCTCTTCCCAAAGCTTTCCCAAAAGTATTTGCTTAATACAGCCATGGTGTTTTGCTGCCAGCATTTTTGTATGAAAGTTGAATATTTGTTGAAAAGGTTTATATTGGATTGTAATCTTCCATTTTTCATGAAAATAAAACCAATTTCATTCCCCATGTGGATGTATGTCCACAAATTTCAAAGTGAGCTCTGCTTAACTAACTTAAAGTCATTCTGCTGACACTGGGAAAATAAAACAGAGGAAAGGGCCAACATACAACAAATGACGCTTGTAGGGTTTAGTACAGTTAAGTGTTGTAACAGACCAGTCTCATAAAACAATATAAAAAACTATGCTAAAGTCATTTTAAGGAACTGTTTCAATGCTACAACAAAAAAGACATCCAAGATGTATGGCTGTCTGCAGCCTGACTAATGAGCTTAACAGCATAAGGGATAAGTCAGATAATATCCCAGTGTGTCTATTCCTTAAACTATTGGCACCTAAAATTAAAAGATTTGGTGGATAAGCAACTAAATACAAAATCTCACCCATACAACTTCGAATCCAAAGTTTGGTTCATGCTATAGGCACATAAGGCTTTCTTAAATTGATAAAAGAACAGTCTTTTCCACTTTCTAGAACATTTAATACGAATCTTCCATATCCTATGACTTGTTTGGATGAGTACACTTAATTCATATTATAGCAATAGCAATAGTACTTAGACCTTTGCTCTAAGCAGTTTACAGCCTATTGCCCCCAACAATCTGGGTCCTCATTTTACCCACCTCGGAAGGATGGAAGGCTGTGTCAATCTTACGCCTGTGAGATTCGAACTGTAGCCTAGATTGCAGAGTTCTATAGCTTACAAACAAGAAGCTGCACATAAAGTCTGTCCAAACAATCACCTTACAACTAAAATCCCAAAGGAAAAAATATACAATTTTATCACTTACAGAATTGCCGTTGACTAAACTAAAAGATTATAGAGGAAAGGTATGTTGAGCTCATTTTAAAGACTGAGATGAAGAATAAGGAAAAGGGTAGTGTCTAAAATGACAAGATCCATATAGTTAAACACAGATATACCACTAATATCAGATAGCAGGCCTAAACATTCTATATAGATGAAACTCTCAAAGAATTCTAAGAAAACCACTTAAAATGAATCATACTGCACCAGGTTTTTGAATTATTTAATTGATGTTGCTCTGACTATATTACACAAGGATTAGAGAGTTTTTTATTAGCTCATGGTAAAGAAAAAGGTACTTGCAAACATTACAACCCTAGCCTCTCAACAATCAAAGGCAATTTGATTGCCTAATTTAGGCAATATATATCAAACCATTTGTTTTGCTAATATATTTAAGAAATCACATTACATCTACTCTACAGTACAAAAATTAAAATCGTTAGAAGTGTTTACTTGCTTTTGTTTTCATTTATTTACCACTCAGCTTCAAAAGTACCTAAGTCAGCACATTTCTGGAGTATATGGAGTATAAATCTTTTGAATGGGAACAGAATAAGTGATTCATAAATTCTTATGTTCCAAGCTTCTGTTAGTAATCTCTTACAAATCTAGTTTGTAAAGTGGCAGATTAGGGCACAAGTTCAGATTTATATTATGGCATCACAAATCATGATTTGAGGTTAAGTCATGAAAATCATTACTTTTAGGTTTCCTTATATCACAGAGATTCACAGAACCCTGAAACCAGAGGTGGTATTCAGTAGGTTCTGACCAGTTCTGAAGAACCGGAGAGGAAATTTTGAGTAGTTTAGAGAACTGGCAAATACCACCTCTGACTGGAGATTTTACAGTATCCTTCCCCTGCCACGCCTGCCAAGCCACACCTACAGAACTGGTAGTAAAAAAAATTGAATCCTATCATTGCCTGAAACCATAATTAAGATTTTAAAGGCAGTCTTCTGCATGAAATGCCAATGACCCTAGAGCTGATCCTATGTTGATTGACCCATGTACATATTGGAACTCAACATCATTCCACTATTTAAGTATTGATCATACTTAGTGTGACTCCATAAATATATGAAATGTTACTATAAGTATATAAACATGATGTGTGTGTGTGTACATATTTACAATTTAGTAGCTTGACAGCAGGAAACTTGCCAAGTCAGTGTATAGTCTGGACTAGAGGTTAAAACTTATATGCATATATTAGAAAAGGAAGCATACATTTACTGAACATAAAACTCTGCAGGATACTAATGTTTCTTTAAGTAAAACATTATTCATGGAATAGAAACTTAAGAAGAATAATCAGTCCAAATTTATAAAAATGAATGTCTTCTAATAAAGTTTTACCACAAGGGAAATCAGTGGTTCTGTTACGCATCTTGCCAAATCATACTTTATGTACAATGTCATACTGTCTAAACATGCACTGTACTAACATGGAATAAATTAGCACATAGGAAGGAGGCATTAAAAGTATTGTTTAGACTTACTTCCCTTCACATGATGGATACATGACCTATTATGGTAATGACGCTGCTATCATTCTCTCTGTGACAAATATCTAAGATTATGATGCAGTTTATAGTTTAAAAATAAAAAACAAGCCTAAATTAAAAAGCAATTAGAAAAAAAATTATTTTTTTTCTTAATGTTCTTAATAATTGAACTAAGCTTGAATACTTGGGAATAGATATATAATTGAAACCAAGAGCACTTGCCTCCTAACAATAGTGTTGGAAGACTGGTGTGCAAATCAGTGAGCAAATTAATTGTAAGAAACATACTAAAGCAATACATTTACCACTGGAGCATAAAATAATTTATATAATATTTCAGAAAACTAAAGATGGGGGGTGGAACTCACTAATGGATCTGAAGTTTTCCAGTTACATCTGTGAAACAGCGTTTCTTTCTAAAATCCCGAGTATGCTAATAGAACATCAGGCAGTAGCTTTTGTAACTCATTGGAATTGCAAACATGTTTTATGGGTGTTTTTTATGAAAAATAATGGTGTACAAACTTATGGTACTTCAGGATGAAGCAACAGACTCTCTGAATCAAAAATACAGCATCTATTGCAACTTTCCTGATTTAATTCATAATATTCCAAAACAAATTTTTAAAAACAGACCACAACATTGTGTACATCTTTTACTTTGGAGTATTCACAAAGACAAAACATTTGACAAAACAGATGTCAAATAACTGAGTTGAGCAACACTGAAACAGTATTTGGTAGGATTGAAATATTCAGACTGTACTTTAGGCAATAATATTGAATGCATATCTACATTCCATGTAACCAAACAGCCCCAAACGTACATACTGAAAAACTCCAGAGATCTTATGATTTCCATAAGCACAAAACAAATGTGCATTTACAAAAGAAAGGGAAAATAAGGAGGGAAAATAGGACAATATAATAATTTCAGTGAACAATCAATATATTCAGTGGAGGTGGCTGATCAAGTAACAACAGATCCTATCTCTTTCCACTCTTCCCTCACCCTCCTCACATGTGATTAGATTTTAATGTTTGGCTTTAATTTATATGTGTTTTAATGTACCTGTATAAATACATTTTGAGGGGCAGCCCCATGTAGAGCATGTTGCAATAGTCAAGATGGGAAGTGATTAGGGCATGACTGACCATGAGTAGGGATTATTGGCTCCTTATGACTATAAACTGCCCAGAGTTACCCTGTGGTAAAATGGATGGCTAATAAATTGTATAAATACATACATACATACATACATACATACATACATACATACATACATATATACATAGTGTACATACATACATTGCTTATGGAATGCTAATTGGTTTCAAAGAAAGTTAAAATGAGAACTTGAGGGAAGTTGAAAGTACTATCTTGGGGTGGGAAGAACACAACTGGGCTGCCTGAAATCTGTACTGTAAGCTTTTGTTGAAAATGCCATATATTTAAATTGAAAATAGAAGCTGGCTTCAGGTCTCCAACCCACAGCACAAATTATGTTCAAAGAAGTCGCAGAAACTTGAATGGCTATAACTGCTTGACACGCAGATCCGGAGGAGCAAAATTAGCATTACTTGCCCAGATCTTCCATCCAATGTAGCAGACATTTTCCCAGCCAAGATAAAAGCATTCAAAATATAAATCAAGTTATCCTTTGCAAAGTTTGAAAGTATTTAATCATTAGTTTGCTCATATGTGTACTTACTGTATTCATTTGTACTTTGGGTAATATTGGAAATATAAACAGAGATTGTGCCTACCTTATTTTGGCAAATTTGGTGAACTGATCTAGAATGAGCATCTCTTATCACTGCTGCACTACGGCCCACATTGAGGTCAAATATTTCTAGTGCTCGGTTACTCCCAGCTGCCAATACAATATCTGTAATTTCTGTTAAGTTAAAGTTCCATTAGATAAATTATACGTTACAAGTACAGCAGTCAGCATTTCTAGGCTTTCATTTGTCAGGAAAAATATGCCTGCATTTAAATAATTTACTATAGGAATATCAAGCTTTTAACAGACTAGAAGGCAGAGTTGGTCACATGGAGTTCCACAGTTAGCACCATACAAGTAGATGATTCCACATGATCCCAGGTTTCAGTCACTAAGGCATGACAATAGTTGCTAGAATATGAAAGCTCATAATACTTATTATCTTTGTGATTTATTTTTGCTTATTATAGTTAGTCCTCAACTTATAACAGCTCAGTTACAATGGTGCTGAAAAAACCTATGACCATTTTTCACACTTAATGATCATTGCAGCATCTCTAAGATCATGTGATCGATCAGACACTGGGCAACTGACTCCTATTTATGATGGTTGCAGTGTCTCAGGATCAAGTGATCTCCTTTTGTGACCTTCTGACAAGCAAAGTCAATAGGGAAGACACGTTCACTTAACAACGGTGTCACAGCGTTGTTCACAGCGGCAGTGATTCACTTAGCACTGTGGTCATAAATGGGGCAAAATCTACTTAACTGTCTTGCTTAGCAACAGAAATTTTACACTCAATTGTGGTTGTAAGATGTAGACTACCTATACTACAATAAAGAACTATAGTTAAACAACTAATGCCTTTTGCAAAACAGCAACAATAATAATGATAAGAGGATACAAGAGTAGAAATCGTTCACTGCTGAAAGGCTGGTAATTTCCACTGTAGAAGCCATTGGAAATTTCTGTATTGATTTGCAAATACTCTTTGTTCTATATCTGCACAAATAAAGCATATAAACATGTATCTGTATCTTGTGAAGAACCTATATTTACTCCAACCCATATTTCAAAGTCTTTGTTCTAGCATCTATTTTTTAGTCTTATCTTTTCTACTTTGGGGAGATATAGGATCCAAATATTTTGCCAAAAAAGTAAAGATTTTCTTAAAATATACTTCTTGTTATCATTAAAAAAGAACGGCAGATCTTTGTCTTCCATATTTTCATTAACACACACCAGGTACTGTATTAAGTTACATATACATTTTTCTTTTAACCTATGAAAATAATATGTATGTTCTATCTAACAAAGAACTGCAAAATGTAAAACTTCTGAATATATCCCAATAGCAAAAATTAAAGTTCCTTCCCATCACAGTGGAAAATATTGTTTTCCTAGACTTATACTGGGACAATTGACAAAGAATTTCAGCTATGCAATATATGCAAGCTCAGCTTGATAGTTAAAATGTCAAATTCTTCTGTTCCACTCTTTGCGCACTTGTATTATATGCTGGTTCCTGTCCAACATGATATGAGTGGCTCTCAGCTTATGCAATGGGCTTGTCATCCCACCTCCAGTATGATTTTTCCCTAGAGTTTGCTTTTAAGGCAGCATTTATTTTTATTTAATAGCAAGAGAGTTGCCAAAAGGAATGGGTGGGTTTTTCCTCCAAAGAATTACCTGCACAAGCCTCCTGAACCTGGCAGAGAGGGGAAATAGGGAGCAGGGAATTTTAACTCTTTTTAAATCAGTGATCCAACCCTGAATCAAGAGTCTGTGCTGTGGAATCTGCAATACAGTAAAACTCCTATTTATTTTGATTTTATTCTGTAATGCAAATTATAGGCCTAAACTGCTTAGTCTGGATCAGGAATGCAACAAGGCATAACAAGTTCAAGTTTTCTGTTTTCATGCTATGGAACCTGTCCACTCACTCCAAATTTGTAAGGGGGAGGAATCAATAGTAAAACTATGAAGTTCAGTCCAATGCTATTTAGCCCAGGGGTCTCCAACCTTGGCAACTTTAAAGACTTGTGGACTTCAACTCCCAAAATTCTGGGAGTTGAAGTCCACAAGTCTTAAAGCTGCCAAGGTTGGAGACACCTGATTTAGCCCACACCTAACTATGATAATGTGAATGAGCCATCACAATTGAAACTATCCCATAAAGTATAACTTTAATAGAAGAGATTTAACACATTATTCATGTTTCTGTCTATGTTCCACATTTTTTTTTCCATTTCATCTTTTTTCTAAATCTGACTCACCAGATAGAAAAAATGTCAGAAATAGCACAGTGATACATACGTGGAAGAAATTGGGGAAATTGAAGTTACATAAATGGTTAATAATGTAATGTAATAGCTTTTTTCTTAGTTTTCCCTGTACTATGATTCCATCTGTCAAATGGGAAATGGCTTAGTTTATAAAATCAATCATTCCCATTTTCTTTCATTTCCGATTCTTCTTTTTCAGTTAAAACAATAGACATATCTCTACTTGACTTCTTTTAATTTATTAATCAGTTAATTCTGTTTAGTAATGCTTTCTAAATACCTATTCGCACTTTCTAAAACTATTTTGAAACAGCATATTTTTATTATTCCAAAAGATAATAAAGCCAGCTTTAATTTTTCTTCTTTTTTGATCTGGTTTTTTATGTTTTAAGAATGACTATTTACTTTAAAAAAATAGTAGCTATAACTGATTACTCTATCAGAATGCAGCAATGTTATGCATCCTTCTGCAGTGGGGTAATATTACATAACTCATAACTCTAGAAATAACATAATGGAAAATAAAAATAAAAAAGCAATAATAATTCCACAAAAGTTTTAAAATTAAATCTGATATAATGCAAAAAAATCCACTTAATTCTGATCAGACTCAATCTTCTCTCTTGGGACACTTTTCATTTTGATAATTGTTTTTATTTATGGCAAAATTTATACTTGTTATACAAGTTAATATCTACATATTTTGCAGTATACATAATGAATATTTAATATCAGTACAACCTTAACAGCTATAACAAATCTATATAAACAATGTTTCTGTTTCTGAAAGCTACTGCATAAGAAACCTCACATTTTATGATTTTTTGCACTAATACTGGTGTTTCTATACTGTTTAAAGAACTATTGAATGGCTTGCACACGTCAACAATATTACATTTACATTTACTGTTAATGCTACTTTAAATACAATCCTATATATTTACATACCGTTTTATCTCATCTTTACTGGTGTCAAGATAATATCTTAATAAATAAAATTCTGCTCCACAGGACAGTAATATGAACGTATCTATATAATAAAACTGGGCTGATCGGATAGATTTGTGAAATATTTCCTTTCCCTGAAATTAAAAATACATATCATATATCCTATAATTCTCATTGAAAAACATAGGTAGTTTGTTTTTAGACTACTGACATTTCATTTATTTTTCAAACTGAAATATTTTTAATTACTAATCTTAATTTATCTTACATTGTTCTTTAGTGCAGTTTAAAGCAACATTTATCAATATTTTGAAACTCCAACTCCAACAACTTAACCAATACACCAACCATTATTTTTTATTGGTTTTGTTTTCTGGTTTATTTATAATTTATTGCATTTATATCCCACCACAATCAATTCAACTCATGATGAGGGATGGAAAAATTTGGTCACATATTTTTACTTCCACCAAGAAATATTCCTTTTTTGTTTGTGTGTTTGTTCCTTGCTTTTGCCTTGCAGTTGGTAATTTAAGGAGACAGAGAAACAGAAATTATTAAATCAGTTGCACTGAATATGTTGAGTAAAGAAACCAAGCAGAGGAAAGAATGTCATGTTAATTTTTGAGTATAAGGCTTAGGAAATGTGCATTGTTTCCATGTCCACATTAGATTATTGTTATTCTGATTTTCTTTTAATAGTACAAATACAGAATGACCACATAATCAAAAATGACAAAAAATATTCTCAGCATTGACTGGCAAATTCCTCCTTCCAAAATTTAACTGTGACTTCCTATAACTCAAAATCAAAATAAGAACATGAATATATATATATATATATATATATATATATATATATATATATATAGATCTTTGGTTGTTCGGGTTTTCTCCCGCGTAAGATTTGAAGTATCTAGGCAACGTTTCGATGAAGTCTCATTCATCATCTTCAGGCTTCTGTCTCCAGCTCTGTGCTTCTCAGAGTAATGGAGATTGCAGCTGCTTCCTCCTTTTAACTGCCAGTGGGGGTGGAACCCCCAAACACATCCCCACAGAAACCATCATATGTGGAGTTGAAACCAG